GTTCCATTGGTACCATCCACAACTTTTCACAGTGGAAACATAAAAAATGTGTACCAAACTGAACTGAACCGAACTGGACTGCTTGGTGGAAATGACCTCACCAAAAATCAGGGGCTCAGAAAATTAAAAAGGAAAGCCAGGAAACAGGCAACATGAAAATAAAAGGGAGGCAATGGCCCAGCCCTGTCTCCACTGTCAGTTTCACTCTGATGGCACCAAGACATCCTTTAGCATCTGCGTGAGACCACCAGACATTCTTCTGTCTCTCCTGATTGAACTGGTCGTAGTTCTGCAGTGAGACCATTCAAATTGCCCTGTTGGCATTTGTCAGAGCTAAGGCTGTTCTCATGAACTGTGCGGATGTTTTCCTACGAAAAATAATGCATGCAAATTTGCACATATCCCACATGTTATGTGTATAGCTTTGCACAGAAGGGACTAAACAAGGAACCAGTCCTGAGTGGCTTTGTAGGGAGGCAGGTTGGGATGGTGGATGGGTCAGAAAAATGCAGACTTCCCCCTGGAGACGTACGGTACATCCTCACCATGCTTCTTTTCCTGAACCTGTTCACAGTAACTTTACTTACCTAAACCAAAAATTACTTAACTGTACGTTAAGAACATATTTATTAGATATCATACAAAGCGTTCTATGAGGATATGTTGGATGCTGGTGTTGCAGTAGGTGTGAATGTGGCACCCAGTTTGGAAACTTTTGGCTACCATGATTCCTAATTGCTGACCTGCAAAGACCAGAAAGTCAGTCAGAAACAATTTTGATTATGGATTCAAAATTTAAATGACTCTTGCCGAACTTTCTTTGGTTTCTGTTTTTGCTTTGCTTTGGTTTGTATCGCTGTGAACTGAATTCCTTTGACTTTGGATGTTGTAAAACACAGGAACATCTCTGATTGCATCAGTTCGACCACTGTGTTGCTGTTCTGTCGCAGACAGTGTCATTGGAAGGACGTGGATGAACTTAAATAGATGCATATTTTCTATAAAAGGCAGAAACACCTCCTCCTGAGTTGAGCAAAAACCATCAGAGTGAAATCATCTGTCAGTTACCTTTTTTATGGCACAGGAGAAAAGAGCCAACACATTGACACGTGGTGCTTTCAAGTGCTGGTTCAGAGAATCTGAAATCATGACAGCACGCCACAGAGCAGTTTGAAGATGCACCATGAACAAATATGAGCACGATGAAGAGTGGATGGGATTCTGACAGCTCACTGAATCAAATACACCGTGTTGTTGCAACACTTTATTAATGTGTGTTTCATATCAATCAATCAATCAATTTATTTATAAAGCCCAATATCACAAATCACAGTTTGCCTCACAGGGCTTTACAGCATACGACATCCCTCTGTCCTTATGACCCTCACAGCGGATCAGGAAAAACTCCCCAAAAATAACCCTATAACGGGGAAAAAAAAAAAAAACCGGTAGAAACCT